CCATTCTGTGGTGAGCCCCCTCCAATGGACTCTTGACCCACTTGCTCCATGACACTGCCCTTTCAAGGATGCCAATGACCTCTACACTGCCACATCCAAAGCTGGACGTTCAGTTCTTAATGTTCCTCGATCTTTCAGCAACGTTTGACCTGGCTGATCACTCCCTCCTCTTAAAAATATGAATACATCTCTCAGAACACTCTGATTTTCCTGCTACTTCTGGCTACACCTGCTTAGTGTCCCTTGCTGGTTTTTCCTCATCCTCCGGACCTCTTGACCTTGGAATGCCCTAGAGCACAGTCCTTAGGGTGCCTCTCTGTCTTTGCTTAGCCCTTCATAAGCTCATCCTATGTGTCATGGCTTTAAATGCCATCTGTATACTGATGACTCCCACATTTTTAATCTCTTGCTGGGAGTTCCTCTCTGAACTCTATCCTCATATATCCAACTACAATAATTAGCATCTCAAGTGCAATGTGCTCAGAAGTGAACTCCTGCTTTTCTTCCTAAACTTGCTTTTCCTGTGGTCTTCCCCACCTTAGTTAATATCAAATCTACCCTGAAGGGAAAACCTTTGAAGTCATTCTTGACTCTTCTCTTTTACACTAGGTATCCAATCTTGCTGTGAGTCCCATCTGCCTAACTTAAATCTATTCCGAATCCAATGAACTCACATCATTGCCCTCGTTACCACTGGGGCCAAGCCATCCTCTCCTCTCACCTGGATCATGGCAACAGCCCCCTCACTGCTCCCTTTGATTCTGGTGGTGCTCCCCCTCGGCATAGTCTTCACAGAGGAGTCAGGGGGATCTTTTTAAAGCGTAAGTCAGATCATGTCCCTGCTCTGCTCGAAATTCTGTATGGATTCCCCCATTCCAATCTCACTCAGATTAAAAGCCTGAGTCTTTCCCAAGGCCGCCACCACCTGCCTGCCCATTACCACCTCTCACATCCTTCCCCCGCTCGCTCCAGTCCAGCCATACAGCTGTCCTCTCTGCTCCTTGAACATCTTGGATTTGGCTTCTGCTACGGAGCCTTTGACTTACTGTTCCCTCTGTCTGGAGTGCTTTTCCAGGCAGTCATACAGCTCTCTCCTCCACTTCCTTCAGGCCCTTTCTTAAATGTCACTTTCTGCTCACTATGGTTTTTTTGTTTTGTTTTGTTTTTTTGATTGTTTGTTTGTTTTGAGACAGGGTCTCTCTGTCACAAGGGTTTGAGTGCAGTGGCATCATCTTAGCTCACTACAACCTCAAACTCCTGGGCTCAAGCCATTCTCCTTCCTCAGCCACCAGGGTAGCTGGGAATAAAAGCACACGCAACCTCACCTGGCTAATTTTTCTCCCCCCCCCCTTTTTTTTTGTATAGATGGAATCTCTCTCTGTCTCTCTCTCTCTCTTTCTCTCTCTCACACACACACACATGCAAGCACCCACCCCTTTTCTTATCCCCTTTCCAAGTCTTATTTTTCTCCATAACACTTATTACTCTCTGTTAGTCTCCCGGCAACTAGAATGTATGCTCTCTGCAGATTAGCACTTTAGTTCTCCATCCAAGTTCTAACTGGGCTGACCCAGCTTAGCTTCCAAGCAGGCACGTTAGAGTGGTATGGCCACAGATGAAGCACTTTAGTTCTGTTTTATTCATTGCTGTTCTTTTTTGATTCTCTTTTGGTCATCCCCAGTGCTGAGAACTCTACTTGTACATAGTAGACACCCAATAAATATTTGTTGAATGAATGAATCAATCTCACAAATTCAAGATTGGTTCAATATTAGAAATTTTGTCAAGGTCATTCTCTGTCCTAACACACTGAGATGAAAACTTTTCCCCCCAAAAGCATTTGATAAAATACAATATCAATTTCTCTTTTCAAAAACTCTTAGTGAGTTTAGGAATACAATAAAAATTCTTAAACCAAATAGATAATCTAGCTCCCAGAAACCTTCAGTAAATATAACATTCCATGGTGAAGCATTCCTACTAAAAGTCAAACCAAGAATGTCTAGTCTTCACGACTAGTCTAAGAGAAGAAATCAAGAAGAAATGAGCGGCAATAAAAACACTGACAGCACAGAAACCGGTGGCAAGCCCCGTGAGCACCTGTCCCAGCAGGTGGCCGGTGCCCCTCGAAGCCTGCCTGCGGGTCGCGCAGGATTCCCTGGGCCAGGGCGAGGCATCTGGAGAGAGGAGACCCCCTCTCCCTTCACACCTCGTCATCTGCGGTCTGGAACGTGACTCAGTTTCCGCCCAAGGGTTAATCCACGTGGCAGTCGTGCCTGTGCGTGTCCCAGGCCTGCCCACCTGCGGCCGGAAGCGGGGCCGCGCGTCTCCTCGCTCCCGCGCGTCCGCGGCGCCGGCCTCTGCGCCCGCGGGTTCGATGCCCGTCCCCTCCGACCCCAGGCTGAAGCTTAGTCCCCATGTGGCAGTATTGAGAGATGGGGCTGCAAGCCGCGCCTGGGTCACGAGGGCTCTGTCCCGTGGGTGGATTAATCCATTCATGCATCAGGGATCCATAGGTTGTCGTGGGAGTAAAACTGAGGCCTGAGCTAGCACAGTCAGCCCCTTGACACGTGATGCCCTGCGCTGCCTCGGGTCCCTCAAAGTCCCCACCAACAAGGAGGCTCTCACCCCACGCAGCCCCCAACCTTGAACTTCGCAGCCTCCTTAACTGTAAGAAACAAATGCCTTTCTCTATAAACGACCCAGTTTCAGGTATTCTGTTATAGGTAACAGAGAACACACTAAGACAAACCCTTCCTCGTGATTCTAGTCCCATGTCATTCCAAAATATTCCTTTTATAATTAAGAGAGCCAGAGCTGATTTCTAAATCTTTTTAAAAATAAGTGACAGAGAGAGACCCTGTCTCAATCAATCAGTCAATAAATAAATAAAGGCGAGGAGGAAGGAAGGGAAGGGGGGAGGGCGGGAGGAAGGAAGAAAGGAACGCAAAGAAAATTCAAAGACCGAAAGGCGAGGCTCACAGAGAAGGTTTTCAATTATCTTGAGGGACAGGGTCTTGCAATGTCGCCCGGCTGAAATGCAGCGGCGTCGCAGCCGCCTCGGGAGCAGCTGGGACTGCGGGCGCCACCGCCGGCGGAACAGGTTTCTCGGGGGTCGCTGCCACCTAGAGGATTTATCTAGCACCGAACTGTGTGCCCAGAAATGTCATAGCCTCAAACCGGAGGTTGCTTTTAACCAAATAAAGCAAAATTCCTTGGAGTTTTGAAAAAAAATTGCTAGATGTTTTACGATAGGAATTAATAAATCTTTCGGTCATGGACCCATTTTTCAATGTGATGAAACAATAGATGATTTTTCTAAGAAATCCACATACCAAACAATACATTTCCAGGGATCCTGGGACCACTAAAGTCCACCCTAAAGTTTGGTCTTGGGTTAAAATTTCTGTTTTATTTTAACTAAAGGAATTAACCGGCTGAGCGCAGTGGCTCACGCCTGTAATCCTAACACTCTGGGAGGCTGAGGCAGGAGGATCATTTGAAGTTAAGATTTCAAGACAAGCCCGAGCAAGGGAGAGTCTGAGTCTCTACCAAAAAAAGAAAAATAAACCAGGTATGGTAGCGCATGCCTGTAGGTCCAGCTACCTGGGAGGCTGAGGTGGGAGGATTGCTTGAGCCCAGGAGTCTGAAGTTGCAGTGAGCTATGATGCCACCACTAACTCTATCCCAGACAACAGAGCAAGAGCCTGTCTAAAACAAACAAACAAAAATAATTAACTAAAAGCTCCGCATACAAATTCAATTCGATTTTAAATATGAAATTAATTCAAAAACAGACTCAAAGTGTATTCACTTACAAAATGTTCCTGAATTACATTTTTCTTTTCTTTTTTTTGTGTGTGTGTTTAGGTCATTAAATATGAAATATATGATTTCGAATCAAAAGTTTAGTTTATTATATCTCAAACAAGAAGCAGTACAATTACCCAAAGTATGCACCTAAACTAGCAACATAGTTTTGCTATCTTAATGATTAGCTTGCTTATGCCAGCAGCAAAAAGCTTGGAAAGCAAGTAGCCATGAAATCTCAAAAGATGTTTTCCACAGCTTGTTGAGAATTGAGTAGTTTTCCTTGCAAGAAGAGGTCCAAGCCTGGAAGAGGTGGTAGTCAGTTGGTGCAAAGTCTGGTGAATACAGTGGATGACAGAGAGTTTCCAAGTCCAGCCTTTGTAGTTTGAACAGCGTTGTTTGTGCAACTTGTGTTGTCTTGCAAGAGGATTGGCCTGTCTGTCTTTGACCAGTCTCAGCTGCTTGATCACAAGCATCATCATCATTTTGTCCAGCTGGTTGCAGTAGACATCTGCTGTCATCGACTGACCAGGTTTCATGAAACTGTAGTGGATAATATCAGTTCTAGACCACCAGACCCCATTAACTCTTTTTGATGAATATTCAGTTTTGGAGTATGTTTTGGCACTTCATCTTTATCCAAACATTGTGCCAAACGCTTGCAATTGTCAAAAAGAATCCATTTTTCATCACACATAACAATACAGTGTAGAAATGGTTCACCTTTATGTTGTGACAGCAAAGAAAGGCAAGCTTCAAGACAATTTCTGATTCTGGTTTAATTCATGTGGTACCACGTATCCAGCTTCTTTACCTTGTGGATTTGTTTCCAATGACCCAATATTGTTGGAATAGTAATGTCAAACTTGCTGCTAATTCAGCATAGGTTGAGATGGATTCACTTCCACTGCAGCTTCTACCTCATCATTCATTACCCTCGGTCTCAGGTCGTCCACGTGGCTCAATTTCAAGATTAAAATTACCAGAACGGAACTTCTCAAACCATCGACGTACTGTGCGTTCATTAGCCACACCCTTCCCAAACATTTCCTTGATATTTTAAGCTGTCTGCACTGAATTAGTTCCGTGACAGAATTCATCTTCAAAAATAAGATGAATTTTTGACTTATCCATGGTTTCACAAAAATTGTTCTAAAAAAATTTGAAAGATAATCACAAGCCAAACCATGCATTTGAAAGAATGAGGATGCACCTTCACAATAAACATAAAACAAGAAGTCTCAAAGCTAAATGTCAGAGATAGCAATTGTCAAACTTACTACTTAAGGAAATCGCACATTTTGTACTTAATAACCTACAACTCTGACAATGCTTTGATTTTATGAACTACACTTTTCACTTCACAATGAAATATGAGCCCACACAAAGACACACACAGTGTGAGAAAGGGGAGCAGAATCCGGAGCAGAGTGTTGGTCAGGCCAAACCAAATTACCCTGGGTATCCAGTAGAGCCCTGGAGGCCCCTCTGCTTGTTCCAAGGCTGTGGGAAGGCTCTCGAGTTGGATGGGCTCTGTTGGCAGGCAGCTTTATATTCCAGCCTCAGTTTCCCTGGGTATAAAACGGGAATAATGGGACTTACCTCATGGGGTTGGGGTGACAGTTAAATGAGATAGTGAATGTAAAGGCTAAGTTCACTGCCTGATACACAGTAAACATTTAATGATTGTTGAGTGGCCATCTTGTTCCTGTCCCCGACAGGTTCTCTGGTTGAGGTCACAGGGACGCTACTTGGGTGAGGTTGAGGCAGGAGGATCGCTTGAGCCCAGGAGTTTGAGGTTGCTGTGAGCTAGGCTGACACCATGGCACTCTAGCCCTGGGAACAGAGTGAGACTCCGTCTCAAAAAAAAAGAAAAGGAACTGAGGAACAAGTATGCAGAATATACTTGTAGAAAACACATCCTGTCTAAGTGTACAACTTTGTTTTTTGTTTTTTTCATATGGCGATACGTTCATACATATGGCTGTAAATTCGTATATACCAGAGTCACTACAGCCATAAAAATGTTTCTCATTCTACAGGTGAAATTAAATGACTGGTCCAAGTTAGGAGCACCAGTTTTGCAGTCAGACAGATCCATTCCAAATCTGGGTTCTGTCATATATAACAATTATATACCCATAATAAAAACTGAAAACATTTTTTAAAAATTGGGGCTCTGCTGCTGTGGCAGAAACTGTTGGTTGGCCCCAATATCCATTCTTGCTTTCTGAAATATAAATAGAGCCCTCAACTATATTAAATGTATTGTTTCCAAAGAAATTAGACTCTGGGTCCTTATCATGGCCCACAGCTTGGTGTGCTGTATGCTGAGCAGAGCACTGCTTCATTAAAATGTCACCTACACCGCACACTGCCCTCACGTCCTAAAATAGCTCTGTGCTGTCCTTTGTTGGGTGAGTCATCCCTGTGGTTGCTCAGGCATGCAGTCCCTGTCACTGCATGGAGGCACAGCCTGACTGTCGGACTGCAGGTTTGTCCTCAGTGGCCTAGGCTGATCCAACCATAGCGATGTGCTATGAGACGTCTCTGCCCACAGGCTTTGTCCCCAGTGAACGCTACATAATATGCACATTATATGGTGCTAAGTGTGTATGGATTTGTGCTCCCTTCTCACAACAGTCCCCTCAAACTCCTGCCTAGGATTTCCTTTCCTCGAGTCCCACCATTCTGCAAGGACCAAAAGCTGTAGGGCCCAGTTTCTTTCTTCACACCCTAGGGCACAGGCTTCTCTAACAGAATTCTTAAAACAGGGTCTCTTACTCCAGTCCCCAAGGACAACCATCCCCTGCCATCCCCTCCAGGCTCATACATAGGAGATCATAAATAAATGGAGTCCCTGGAACATGTGGATGGTGTCTCCTGGGAGTATGCAAAATCAATGATGCTGGTTCCTGCAGAGAACAGGGTGACATCCCAGGGGCCAGAGCATGGAGGCAGGATGGTGGCCAGGCAGGCCACCAAAGGCTGGTAGAGCAATGCCACCAGGCCTTCCCCACCCTCCTCCCAAACACGGCTTGGTGATCCCTGGGCCGATTATCCACCTTCTTCCTGGGGGAATGGTCTCTGCCCCCCTTGCCCCAAATTCCTGTGAGTGTTTTACTGAGGTCTTTTCCATGAGAAGCACGTTGTCCTTCTACCTGCTGGGAGCAAGTGTGACAACTGTGGTATCATAATAGCAGTGATATATAGAGAAGAGAGATGCAGTGGCAAGAAAACAGGCTTCCAAGCACGAGTTTTTTCTGTAAAGACCAAACAGTGTGCAAGCAAATTTTTCCTATAAAGGCAGATAGTAAGTATTTTAGGCTTTGAGGACCATATAGACTCTTCTGCAACACTCAGCTTTGCTGTTGCAGTGTGAAAGCAGCCACAGAGAATATGTGAATGAATGGGTGTGACTTCATTCCAACTACATTTTATTTACAAAAAATGGACAATGAATGGGCTGGATTTGGCCCATGAGCCTTAGTTTGCCAACTCCTGGTTTAGAATCACGCAGATCTGAGTTTGAATTCTGACTTTGCTACTCTTCAGCTATAGGAGTTTGGCAAGGATCTCTGAGCCCCAGCTTCCTCATGTGTACAATTAAATCAATAAGACCTGTCTCTTAAGAGTTTTAGAAGGTTTTAAGACAAAGGCATAAAGGGTACCTTGTGCACAGTAAGTATTCAACAACTGATAGCTACATTACTCTAATTATGACAGTTTAAAAGTGATTCAGTCAGCAAGGGCTGGATTACACAAGGAGGACTTCCTGAAGGAGGGAGATCTTGGGCTGTATCCTGAAGATTATTATTAGTGCAAGTGGTGGCCCAGTTGCACTTTCTTCCCTGTTCCTCAGACCGTTTGAGAAGTTAATCTTCAGGTATCTCTCTCCTCCAGTAGACTTCTCGAGGGCAGCAACCAACAGGGTCTAACCTACACTTCCTTCCTGGGGCCTAGAATAGGACCTAGGTCTTCCATATAAGTAAATAACAAAACCAATAAAATCATCACAAGGATAGCAGCAAGAGTAGCTGCCATCTGTTGAATGCCTTCTAAATGCGAAGCTCTGTTCTAGGCACTTACAATATATTATTTTTAGATGTACAACCACCCTAGGAGGTAGGGATATTTCCATTTTACAGATGCTACTCACCAAGGCTTAGTAACTTATTTAAGGACAAATGTTAGCTAACCAGCAGGTTTTGCAAACCAAATCTCTGTGCAGTATGGCATAAAGAAAAGGGGCTTTGGAGACAGAACCATGTTCCAATCCTTGGCTGTGCCTTTTATTAGCTACAAGATCTTAGGCAACTTATTTAACCTCTCTGAAGACTAATTTTCTCATTCACAAAATGAGGCAAATAATAGTATCTACCATCCCATGTTGTCATGAGAATTAAATGTGACAGTACATTTAATAAAATGAAAAGTCCCTTGGACAATATCTGGCATACAGTATGTATTTGACAAGGATATCCTTTTACTTAGATACTTAGCATCTCAGAACTGATCCTCGAAGTAATGGAATAGCTGTGAAATGTCGTCCAAATTCATTTAAGATGATTGCAGGTATTGAGGCAATTAAAAGAGGGGGACGAGAGGATTGATTATGAAGCGTCAGACTTACTGTCTCCTTTTAGGTGGAAAACAACAATTTTAAGTTAAACTTCAGGCTCTAGATTTTTAACTTTGCTGCCCCTCAGGATTAGCTAGACTGACTGAATCAGAGCATATATGAGGCACTGTTTTTCATCTGCAAAATGGCAGCCATCATGGGGATGTTTAAAATAAAGTGTGTCTAGCAGGTGCTCAAAAATGATGGCTGATATTATTGCTGTGGGGGTCGTTATTATTATTCCGTGGGAGGTTTCATCTTTCTGATCAGTAGAGTGCAAGTTATGTGAGACCATTGCTGAGATCCCGTATAGCTTTGACAATCACTGATTCTAGGGTTCTCTGATGAAATATATTTGAGACATCCTAGATAAAGGGCCATGCAAGGGCTATACACGTGGTGAGGTAGTTGACTCTGGAGGCTCAGCTAGTCCTGGTGGATCAGATATGACTCAACTGCCCCTCTTGTGAGGATGAAACAACAACAACACAACCATGAAGTCATTCCCTTTATTCAGCATCTGTGCAGCCCTCACTCTCAGCAGCACATTTAAGATATGGCCAATGAACACTTTGGGCTCTAAAAGGTGGAGCTGGTGGTGTTTGCCGACTGTTCCAAACCCTCTCATCTCATGGTCTCATCCGGCTCCAATGCCAGCTCTGCATGGCTCTGGCTTGCTTCATGTAGCCAGAGAGGTTAACTGACAGCACCTGTCCTCTTGCCCCTACTGCGTGTGTCTCTCCTGCTCTGGGGTTCCACACGGATAACGACACAAAGGATGTGTGTGCAGCCCTGAAGTGCAGGAGAGTTAACGTCTGGCGAGGTAAATTGTTGATCAATGGGAGACGGCCACTGATAGATAAACACTTTCCAGTTTACATAGGTCCTTGGGGCATGGTCCCACAGATCCTGAAATTCTTCACACTGAGTGGCAGCCAGCTCAGTGGCGCAGCCTTGCATTGGCTCTCCTCTTTCTCTCCTTTGCTCCCCGTCTCTCCTTCCCACCCCCTGGCTATGCTCCTTAACACACCTGCCATGAGCCCTTCACCTCAGGCTTTGCTTTCTAGAGGACTGAGGCTAACCACCAGGTGGCCCTAAAAGAGAATTAGGATTTGGAAGCTAAATCGTTCACCAGGGTCTTAGTCCATTCAGGCTGCTACAACTGAATACCAAAAATTAGGGTCTGGAGGCTGAGAAGTCCGACATGGAGGCACTAGCAGTTTTGGTGTCTGGAGAGGGCCCACTTTCTGGTTCATAGACGTGCCTCATATCTGTGTCCTTTCATGATGGGAGTGGCAGGGGGACTCTCTTTTATATGGTATTAATCCCACTTCAGCAGAGACTCATGAATTTGGGGGGAACACAAACATTTAGACCATAGCAACCAGTATGACCACAAGAAGAACACTACTACAGGTGGAGAGTGGAGGAAAAATAACCTTTTGCAAGCAGCAGCATCACGATTAATCAGGCTCATTGTGATGAACTGACACGCTGTGTGGGGACAGGAGTAGCTGTGGCACTTACATTTTATGAAGGCTCTATGGTCACTTTCCCCAAATTTGTATGTTGAAATCCAGATGCCCAAGATGATGGTATTAGGAGAGAGGGCCTTTGGGAAGTGATTAGGTCATGAGGGCTCTGTCCTTATGAATGGGAATAGTGCCCATATAAAGGAGGCCCTGGAGAGATCCTCAGCTCTTCTATCATGTGATCACATGGTGAGAAGGTGCCACCTGTGAACTAGGTGGTACCTAGACACTGAAGCTGCTGGCACCCTGATCGTGGACTTCTCAGCCTCCAGAACTCTGAGAAACAAATTTCCACTGTTTATAAGCCAACTAGTCTATGCCATTTTATTACAGCAGCCCAAACAGACTAAGACAGGAGGTGATGCTAATATTAAGGACTATGGAGTAGTCTGGCTTCTGGCTGAAAAAATAAGATGATAGGCTCAGAGTAGGCAATTGCCAGCTCCAGTGACATTGTGAAAGCCACAGGGCTCCTTTGGCAGCTTTTAAGAAGCAGTTGCAGGGAAGACTGCTCAAGATCAGGTCCAGGATCTAACTGTAAGAATGGTAGCACTAAAAAAGAGACAAAATGCATAGTCTTAACCTGTCTCCTAGTCAAAGTCAGCACCTTAATGGATAAGAGCAGAACTCAGAGATGTGAAGTGGGGACATATGAGTGGATAAGGCCAAGAAATTGAACCTTTTGACTACTAGAGCCCCCCGCTCTCCCCAGAAGAGGCTGCACATGACCTCCTCAGACAGGTGCTTTGCAAGATGCCATTTGTTCTACTGAAGATCGATCCCTCCACTCTTGGTTGTTTCTAGGTAAAGACCGAAGTCTGGTTTCTGCACAGCCTGAGCAAGGCAGTCAGTCTCTGCTGCAGGAGAAAATGTCACACTTTCCAAAGGACCCATGGCCCTGACTACAGTGTGCAGGAGAAACCTGGGGGATCATATGTGAAAGTCAATTTTGAAGCTGTTGGGCTGGGGGTGAGTGGAATATAAGCGTAGGTAGGGGAAGATTTTTCCCACATGAAGGTGTCCACCTATAACTAACGATCCAGTGCTACAGCAAGAGAACCCAGAGCTGGTCCTAATAGACTGCTGGGATTGAACTTGGCCTAGAGTACATGTCGAACATATTGCCAGACCTATTCTTGACACGGCATAGGTCAGAAGGCTCAAGGAGGTAGGACCGCTGGAATTGATTTACTATGTAAGACCTGAGAAGCCACCAGGAGACACTGCCTTCATTGGGGCACTGGCATCTTTGAGTGGCTGAATGGTGGTGTCCTCTGTTGGCCAGTGTGGACAGCCAGAGGTCACTACCAGTGGAGATGACAAAGGCCAGGTGACCACATTTAAGTATCAAAGGAAAGTGAATGTACTTACTGTATTGGGAAGCAAAACCAGAGTGGTGAGCATCAGGGTTCCTTGACTTGCAGGGATCTGGAGAGATGACAATGGATCATAGTGTTCCTAGTGGGGAGAAAGATGAACAGCAGACTAGTTCATGCTTGATTTGTATAATAATAATAATAAAAACAAGAGCTTGTGAACAAAAGGCTAATGTCAGCTGTCCCAATGAAAAATCACATTCCCTCCCAAGCTCCCAGGTCACTGTAGTCACTTCACAGGCCCAGAGCTCACTGTTTGAAAAGGAAGCCAGACATCCCTTAAGGAAGGTCCTTGCAACACCTATACGTACGTATGGCAGTGGTCCTCAACCTTTTGGGCACCAGGGATTGGTTTGACGGAAGACAGTTTTCCATGGACTGGGGAGAGGGGTCAGCAGCGAGAGTGGGGGGAGGCGGAGGCAGATCACAAGAGATGGGAGCAGCTGTAAATACAGATGAAGCTTTGCTCACTTGCCTCCTGCTGTGTGGCCCAGTTCCTAAGTTTCACGGAAGACAATTTTTCCACAGACAAGAGAGTGAGGAGGGGGCAGGTGGAGCTCATGTGGTGATGTGCTGCCAGTTCCTAACAGGCCGAGAATGGGTACCAGGCCACAGCCTGGGGGCTGGGAGCCATAGATGTATAGTAAATACTTCCCCAACCATTCCTCTGGAAAGACCTGAGGTTATTTTTCAGGATAACTGAGCACCAGGGAAAGGAGAATGTCCAGAATTTGCAAGGACTGTGCGGTATAGGATCTGAGATAGGAATGATTAAAACCAGAAGACCCAAAACACCACATGCGCCTGTGCTTAGAATGAAGTCTTACAGAGCCCTGGCTCAGTCTCAGCCCACGGGAAGCCTGATGCATCTCCAGATCCACCTGTGGCTATTTCCTCAGCCTCAAAGTAGGAACTGGAATACTGTAATAGACACTGTAATCAATATGAAAATATTAATGTGATATTTTACTTTTTTTTTTATACCAAGTCTTTGGAATCTGACCTGTGGCTGTTACCTCTCTGGCACTTCCAGCCTGTTCCACGCACAGGCCAGGCTCACTCCAGCTGCTAAAGAAAACCACAGACATAGTCAGAGTTTGCAGGAAGCTGTCAAGTTAGAGAGCACGGAAATTGAAAGCATGTATTTTACATTTACAGCACATCTTAATTTGATTAGCCACGCTTCGAGTACTGACTAGTTATATTTGGTGGAGCCACTGATATACTGGACAGTGCTGGTCTAAATAATCCTTGATTGTGTGCCCATTCCACAGAACATCACGCCAGGACTGTATTGAGGACACCATGCCAAACGGACTCAGTAAGCACGCGAAATGGCAAGTGTTCTAGATATGCAGGCAACTTACATACATGCCAGAAAGCGGAATATAAACCCTACAAAAATTCAGGGGCCTGTCACACTGGTGAAATTTTTAAAGCTGGTAGATGTATAGAAAAGGCTTTAACCTTGCCCAAAGAAAGGTCTGGCCTTTGCCCTCAGCTTCTGGGAGGTGGTCTCTTTAGACCCTTGGAACGTCATTCCTGACAGGAGTGTTTTTGTTTTGACTGGGGGCCTTGGGCCAGCCAGATAGTAACAATGTGATTTGGCTCGGGGGCTTTGGGTCACATGGCATCACTTTGACCTTCTAAGGGGTTGGAGACTGGGATCAGCCACTTATGCCATCAACCATGCTTACAGAATGGAACCCCAGTAAAGACTTTGGACACTAATGCATGGGTCAGTTTCCCTGGTTGCCAATACTTCATGCTGGGAAACCAACCCTGTCCTAACTTCATGGGGGGAGGGCAACTGGAAGTTCTCATTTGTACTTTTCTGGACTCTATAATAAGCATTTCTTCCCTTGGGTAATTCTAATCTATATCTTTTAGCTGTAACAATTCATAACTGTGAATAAAACAGCTTTCAGTGAGTTTCATAAGCACTTCTACCAAATTATCAAAACTAAGAGTCATCTTGGGGACCCCTGAACTTGCAACTGGTATCTGACGGTGCCCCCCAACTTTGCAGTTGGTTAACTTTCCCAACTTTATTATTACTGCTTACGCAGTAAGCAGCTCATTCACATTTATCCACTTCATACTTTCTTTGTTCTTTGTAATGCCTTGCAGCTCAGACTTTCTATCTTAGGTCACTTTTCTTCTGCCTGAAATAAATCCTTTAGAATATCCTTTAGTGAGATCTGCTGGTGACAATTTTTCTCTTTTTGTCTGAAAATATCTTATTTTGTGTCATCCTTGAAATATATTTTTGATGGGTTAGGATTCTGGGTTAATAGTTACTTTTTAAGGCACATTGAAGTTTTAATATCAGTCTTCTGGCTTCCATTACAACTGTTGAAAAAAATCAGCTATCTGTTATTCCTTTGAAGGTAATCTTTCCTTTATCCTCAGCGATTTTTAATAATTTTTTTTTTTTAGCCAGGAACAGTGGCTTATGCCTAATCTCAGAACTTTGGAAGGCTAAGGTGGGAGGATAGATTGAGGCCAGAAGTTTGAGACTAGTCTGGGCAACATGGCGAGATCCTGTTCTACAAAAAATATAAAAATTAGCTGGGAGTGCTGGTGTGTACCTGTAGTCCTCGCTACTCAAGAAGGCTGATGGCCGGGTGCAGTGGCTCACGCCTGTAATCCTAGCACTCTGGGAGGCCAAGGCAGGAGGATTACTTAAGATCAGGAGTTTGAAACCAGCCTGAGCAAGAGTGAGACCCCATATCTACTATAAATAGAAAGAAATTAATTGGCCAACTAACATATGTATACAAAAAATTAGCCGGGCATGGTGGCGCATGCCTGTAGTCCCGGCTACTCGGGAGGCTGAGGCAGCAGGATTGCTTGAGCGCAGGAGATTGAGGTTGCTGTGAGCTAGGCTGACGCCAGGGCACTCACTCTAGCCTGGGCAACAAAGTGAGACTCTGTCTCAAAAAAAAATAAAAATAAAAATAAAAATAAATAAATAAAAAGAAGGCTGAGGTGGGAGAATTGTTTGAGCCCGGGAATTGGAGGTTAGAGTGAGCTGATTGTGCCATTGCACTCCAGCCTGGGTGACAGAGTGAAACCCTGTCTCAAAAAATTTTGGGGGGTTTTTATTTCCTGAAGATTTGTTATTAATAATCTATGGGTGGATTTCTTTTTATTTATTTTGTTTGCAGTTCATAATGATTCTTGAATTGGTAGGTTGGTTTCTGTTATCACTTCAGGAAAATTGTCACCCATTAGTTTTTCAAATGTTTTCTCTGCTAAATTCTTTCTCCCCTTCTGTACTCTAATCAAACATATGGTAAACCTTCTCATTGTATTCTCTTAGGACTCTTACCCTCACTGTATGCTTCATTATGGGTACTTTTTTCTGACCTGTTTACCATTTCACAAATTCTCTCTTTAGCTATAACCTTTCTTATAGATCCATTTACTTTTTTTCTTTTAAAGTTTTTATTTATTTTTTTTGAGACACAGTCTCACTCTGTCACCCAGGGTAGAGTGCAGTGGCATCATCTTAGTTCACTGCAACCTCAAACTCCTGGGCTCAAGTGATCCTCTTGCCTCAGCCTCTTAAGTAGCTGGGAATATAGGTCCATCATGCCCGGCTAATTTTTCTATTTTTAGTACAGACAGGGTCTTGCTCTTGCTCAGGCTGGTCTCAAATTTCTGAGCTCAAGTGATCCTCCTGCCCTGGCCTCCCAGAGTGCTAGGACCATAGGAAAGAGCCACCATGCCTGGCACTTACAGATCCATTTAGTTTTTAGTTTGTTATTTTTTCAGTTGTAGAATTTCTAGTTGCTTCTTTTTCACATCTACTCTGTCAATTTTTACAATTTCCAGTTCTGTCCAAATTTTCTATCTTGTTTTTATCTCCTTGAACATAGCAAGAACAGTGTCTGTGCCAGGAGTGGTGGCTCACGCCTATCATCCTAGAACTTTGGGAGGCCAAGGCAGGAGGCTTGATGTCAGGAGTTTGAGACCAGCCTGAGCAAGAGTAAGACTAAAAATAGAAAGAAATTAACTAGGACTAAATTAGCCAGCAACGAAAAAAAGAAAAAAATTAGCTGGACATGATGGCACACACCTGTAGTCCCAGCTACGCAGGAGGCCGAGGCAGGAGGATTGCTTGAGCCCAGGAGTTTGAGGTTGCTGTGAGCTAGGCTGACGCCACGGCACTCTAGCATGGGCAAGAGCGTGAGACCGTCTCAAAAAAAAAATAAAAATAAATAAATCTGTCTGATAATTCCACTATGTGGAGGTCCAATGTGACTGTTTCTGCTGCTAGTCATTTCTCTTGGCTCTTGTTCCTATGTTTTATCTTATATGCCTTGATATCTGTGACTGTATGACAGACATTGTATTTGAAAAATTGTTGAAGTAATTTGAGAACTTGGGTGATGTTATCTTATTCCAATAGATTTTCATTTGATTCTACCAGGCACCTAGGGGTACCAGTAGTCAGGATTTCCCAAATTTATTGTTTGAGGTTAAGATTTCCTAGATCACTCAGATGATTTGAAGCTGGGTTACAACCCTTGAAAAGACAAGTTTACTTCTGGCCTAGTTTTTTAGAATCTCGACCCAAAATAGGCTCCTTGCTTCCACTTTTGTGTCTAGTCAGCATCACTCAATTCAGCTTCTCAGTCTTTTTCTTTACTAAACATCAAAAGCTTCCAGAGCAAGAGGCACTGGATACAGGACTTAACTCTGGATTTCATTTTCCTCTCTGTCTTCACCCAGTAGTTCTTCATTATCTTCTTATTGCCCCACTGCTTTTTATATTTCCTTCATCTTTTTTTGGTTTTTCTAAGCATGTGACTACTCCAAATTACCTACTCAATTGTTATCAGAAATGGAAGTCTCTGCTATGCAAATTTAAATTATTAATATTATTATAATCTCCTGACTGCTTGTTTTGAGTTTAATGGGCAAAATCTGCAATAAAATCCCATTCATCTGGCATGATTAGAGACTACAGAAACAACTGATTTGATTAGAACTAAAATCAGAGGCTACAATTACTTCAGCGATAACTTTCCTGAAGATATAGATGCAAATGCTTTCGTAATATAAAACACTGGGTTAAGAATTAGTTTGTTTAGACAGCTGATGAGAATTTTAAATTATATCAATATGTACAGTAGTCTCAATCTTGATGTCATAAATCTGAGTTTGTTTATATCTGCTTACTAAAAAGGAACAAGGAGCTTTCCTGTATCAAAATATTTGTTTGAATAGTTTTTTGATGTGATGAATGATATAGAAAACTACATTTGTTATAATGTATGTGGTAGAATACTGTTTGCTAATTTGTAAGCAGTGTTCATCATAGATTAATTTTATTCACTGGCTTCATGATAATTAACTTGCTGATTTTACCCGATTTGTTGTAATTAATCCAAACAGTATAAAAAGGCTGTGAGGATTCCCTTAAATTTGGAAGCATAATTACAGAAACTCCTTCTGGTAAAAATTTATTTTATTTTTTGTGTAAATTAGTGACTAACAATTTAGAAATACAATGCTGAATATCAGTTTGCCACAACTGGGTATTCAAGCTAATGGAATATTCATTTTTATATTCTTGTTTTAACTTTATTCATATGTGGCTCATCAAATTTCAAAATATTAAATGACAATACTCTTAACATGAAGCTTTCCTAAGCACATAAATACCGTAACGGTGATGAATCAGAAGGCACCTGGAGAATCTGCCCTGCTAGATCTCACTCATCCCCTTATACCTGCCAAACAGACAGCCCATTCTGGAACATTGGACAAATGAGTATTAGCTGGAGGTGGAGGGAAGGACAGGAGAAAGTGACTTTGAAGTCAGAATAGAAGTGATTTACTAGCCTTGTGATCCTGAGTAAGTTACTCTGAGTCTCAGGGCTCCGTCTGTAAATTGCGTGTAATGATGGCAGCCAGCTCACAGGGTCTCTTTTTGGGGTGGGGTGGGCAGGGTTGCAGAATTAAGTGAGATCGTGATTACAAAGCACTTAGTACTTGGAGGGCACATAATCAGTACTTCATAAATAATGACGGCCATTATTATGACTGGAAAGTATTCAGCTGTCCAGGGAAATAAGGCAACTCCAGAATTTCTGGTAGAAGCTTGCCTGGAAGTCGGGGAAGAAAACTGCTTCTTCGCCTATTCTACGTTTAGTTGGAGAGAATAAGGAAGAATTTGTCCCGTGTCCCTCCTGCCCCAACCAACTAAGCAGTCAAAAAATACAGAACAGCCTCTGAAAGAAACTGGACTGGAAGGGAAGGAGAAAAGGGCGCTGTACGTTCCAGCTAAGGGTGTAACGCCCTGCGCTGGGCCCCCTGCGGGATAGCCATCTATCCCCTTAGACTGTAGAGGAACCCCCACTAAAACCGCACCCGGGCCTACGCTTCCTTGACTTCAGCCACTCTCCCTTTGGGAGGGCGCGGGGCGCGATCCGTGGTTCCGTCGGCCGCGGACGGCGCGGCGCGGGCCCGAGCGCGCGGGCGGGCGGCGCCAGCGGGGCTTCCGGGCCGACGCGCGGTCGGCCGCAGCTCCTCGCGGCCGCAGGACCACGGCCGCTCTCCCGCTCCCGCCCGGCTCCCCACACTCTCTCCTCACCTGGCAGGGTTCGACCTTGGAATCCAGGCTTTACGCCTAGCTCATTTGTGACCCTGGGCAGGTGCCTTTATTTTTCTGTGCCTAGTTTTCCCCACACCAAGACCGACTCTGAGGACTGTTACTACTCTGGAGGGTTTAGCACAGGACCGGGGCACAGTGAGTTTTCAATAAATGTCAGCTTTAGTAAGCTGTCATGCACTTGCAAACGTGCCCCGAAGCGAAACAGGCCAATCTACTAACCTAAGAGCGCGGCGAAAAGCCCCCGGGTTCTAGGGAGTCTTAAACGCAGACACCCTGAACACTCTTGGGCAAGTTGCCTCCTCTTCAGGACCTCAGTTTCCCCGTCCATCACACGATAGATGTCGCCAGCTAAAGCCCCTGCGAACATTTATCGCGTCGCCGTATCACCGTCCCGTTCCGCCACGGCCCGCCTGCAGCAGCGGCTACGAAGCGTAGCGAGCTCCGAGACCCACAGCCCGGTCGCCTCGCCGCAGCGGCCGGGAGGGCCGCAGGGAAGCGGTGCGTGAACACGGGCGATTCGCTGGAGTCGGCCCGGTACACGCTGGCGAGGCTTCCATCAACGCGCCGCTGTCCCCCACAAATGCGGCGCTCCCGGGGATCCGAGAAACCCATGACCTTCAGTCCCAAGGTCACTGCGCCGGGCGCCCTGCTCCGCGGGGCGCAGGGTGACTGTGCGGGTCGCAGGCGCCTTTCAACAGGCTCGAGCGGAGACCCGGCACGTCCGAGGGCGCCCGGGCCTGAGACGCCGCGCAGGCCCAACTCCAAGGCAGCTCCCGCTCCGGGGGCTCGTTTTGCGGACACTGGTCTCCAGCACCCTGCGAGGAACGGCCCAGGCGCCGCAGATCTGCCACGGGAACCGCGCCCGGCTCCCAGCACCCAGGTCCTGGGCCAGGGGCGCAGACCGCACGCGCGGAGGGTCACGTGGGCGGTGCGGGTGCGCGCCCTTGCATCCACGGGAGGGGGCGGGGCCGGCGGCGGGGCCTCCCGTGAAGCCTCGCGCGGGGAAGGACCGGAACTCCGGGCGGGCGGCTTGTTGATAATATGGCGGCAGGAGCTGCCTGGGCATCCCGAGGCGGTGGGACCCACACCCGGAAGAAGGGTCTCTTTTCGGGCTAGTGCGGCGGTCCCTGCGGACCCGGAAGTCCGGGCCAGTTGCTGAATGAGGGGAGCCGGGCCCTCCCCGCGACAGTCCCCCCGCACCCTCCGCCCCGACCCGGGCCCCGCCATGTCCTTCTTCCGGCGGAAAGGTAGCTGAGGGGGCGCCGGCGGGGAGTCAGGCTGGGCCTCAGGGGCGGCGGTGGGGCAGGTGGGCCTGCAAGGGCTTCCTTCCCTTCTGGGCGGCAGCGAGGCCCTAGGTGAGCCTTTTGGCCTCCTTGCAGACGCCCCCTGAGTGCCTTGCTCTGCTCCGGGACTCTGCAAGGAGGGAGAAGGTGGTCTCCTCGCGCGAGGTCAGAGGGGAATTGTCACGCTAGTCCAAAAGTGTTTACTGAAACCCATACAAGTTCATGTTTGTTTGCTTAAGAATAGCTCTAAGAGGGTTTTGGGGTTTTCTTGCGTACTGTTGATCAAGATTAAGAAAATCCCTTTGGTACCTTATTGCGGAAGTCTGAATTTTCCGAATATTAAGGGTTTTATGTCTAACAGCAACACCTGAAAAAATCGTTTCCTTCAGCCAGGGCTATTTTCCAGTTTCCTCTTATTTTTTTTTAGGTGGGAGGGCGTTACTGCTGTTCTTGAAATAAAATTACTTATTGCTAAAGTTCCTCAATGAGGAAGGCTACTTTTTTTGATGACTTAGCAAGCTTACTAACTACTGAAACCCTAACTTTATGAACGAACTACTTATATTTCTGCTTTTCAGTTGTAATAGCTCCCTAGTTTTTAAGTAGAGGCAGCCTGATTTCGATCCTGGGTAAGGTGGTTGTACTTCATTAAAAATACATTTCCAAAGTGAACAAGTGTGGGTCTCTGTATGATAGTGGTTCTTCTAACAATTTTTGTTTCTTCAGAGAAGTGGTACCAGACAGAAACTGGTTTTGGAAAAAGCACTAAATGAAATCAGGGTCTTGGGCTCACATGACCGCTGTCCTACTAATGGTAGCCTGGGACAGGCCAGTTTACCCACTTTTCTCTCCTCCACTGAGAATCAGATGATTCCTACAGGGCCCATTTAATCTCTTTAAAGAATTCCTCCTTTGTAGGTACAGGGTTGCGGTAATTGATGCTAGGTGATTAGTGAATGAAACAGTGCAGAATGAATGAAACTAGCAAGATGGTAGGAGGAAGCTTATTGGTAAGGTAAGGGTAGAATTGATAGTTCTCTAGTTTGACAGTTTTGAAGTGGTTGGTCTTTTTTTTTTTAAGGGGGAAAAACATTCTAAGACTGATGAAGCATTGGAGTGTAAAAGGTTTATTAAAGAATAATGAGGCCAAATTGCATGTTGCACAAGAGGCTATTATTTTTATTTATTTAACAACTACTTTTGAGTGTCTGCAGTCAGGCACTGTGCTAGGTCCTCACAATTGAGCGGTGAACAAGAAGACAAAGTGCACCCATGGAGCTTCCTGTCTGCTGGGGTAGACGGACAAATAGGCAAACAAATCTCTTTGTGTGTGTATTTGGTATATATTTAAGAATTGAGTGAAGTTATGAAAGAGATTAAGAGGAGAAAGCTTTTTGGTAGAGTGTTAAAGAAAGGCTTCAGCAGGTAACCTGGAAACTTAGAGTTGAAGGATCAGTAGGAGGTAACTTTACAGAGGCCAGGGAAGAGCACTGTAAGCACAGGGAACAGCATGTTCAAAGGTCATGAGGCAAGAAAGAGCTTGGTGCCCTTCAAGAAAGGAAAGAAGGCTACTGTGCCTGAGGTGTAGAAGTAGGCAAGGATCAGGTGATTGAGAGTTTTATATGCCTTGGTTAGATTTTATTTCAAGTGCAGAGGAATATTTAAAAATTTTAAAAGGATCACTCCTTCAGGAGTGAGCTCATTTTATGTTTCAAAAAGATTATTCTAGATGCAAGAGTAGAAGCTGGAGATGATCCTATTAAGGATCCCATACAGACTTTAAATACTAGTTTTAAGTGTCATGTATATGTTGATAACTCCCAAATTTACATCTCTAGATTGAATCCTCACCCCCGAATCCTAACTGGTATATCCAACTGTTAGTCCACTTTATATCTTTAATAGTTACCTTTAACTTATGATATCTAAAATTTTGTTCCAGATTTAGCCCTTCTAAACCTATTCATCATTTTTTCTCATCCTAATCAATGGCACTTTTGGCCTTTTAATCACTCAGGCTAAAACTTTAGTACATCCTTGAATCTTTCTTTCTCTCCTACTCTGTAACTGATCCATCAGCAAATCTGTTAATTCTACCCCAGAACATACCCAAATCCAACCACTTCTTATCATCCCTGATAAATAACACCCTGGTCTAGGCAGTCATCTCTGTTTACATTGGGTAGTTAAGGAAGTTCTCTGAGGAGATGACATTCAAATCTCAGTTTAAATGTCAAGAAGGAGCTGGTTTTATGAAGATCAGGGAAGCAGCATTATTTTGCTGTAGCCTTCAATTTGGTTTCCCATCTTCCATTCTATGGAATATTTCCAAAACGAATGTGTAGAAACAGACCCAGGTACAGTGTTTCCCCGAAAATAAGATAGGGTCTTATATTTATTTTTCCTCAAGAATTGACACCCTAGGGTTTATTGTCAGGGGATGTGTTATTTTCCCCTCAAAGCCTCAGCTTGCAGCACGCACAGGATGGCCGGGACCTGACAGGGTGAGATGACCTTGTTGGTGGGTCTGCCCGTACCTTTCCGGTCACCTCTGGGATAGTGGCTGTCATGATGGGGCAGATGAGAAGGGCTGCTCGTCGTCTTTACTGCTTCAAGAAGAAATGCATGGGTTGTGCAGATACGCTGCATAGCCAGGCCATCACTAGGTCTTATTTTGGGGGTAGGGTTTATATTGCACAAATGCTTAGAAATCCTGCTAGGGCTTATTTTATGGGTAGGTGTTATTTTTGGGGAAACACAGTATGTATTTGAATTTAGTATGTAAAAAGAGTTCCTAGTCAGTTGGGAAAGGATAGACTAATCAGTATATGATGCTGATTTGGCAAAAAAAAAAAAAAAAAAAAATTCCTACCTCCTTTCATATATATAGGGCTTAGCTTATTTTTTATGTAAAGGGCCAGATAGTAAATATTTTATGCAGGCTCTATGGTATCTGTCATACTATCTTCTATCCTTGTTGCCATAGACAGTATGTAAATAAATGGGTAGGGTTGTGCTATAATAAAACTTTATTGACAGAAACTGGTGGTGGGCTGGATTTGTCCCAGTAGGCTGTTGTTTGCCAGTCCCTAATATATTGAAATACATTTCAGGTAGGTAAGAGCCCAAAATATAAAAAAAGCAAAACTTGAAATCATATAGAAGAACATATAGTGGGGAAAATCTGATCTTGGGGTAGGAAAGGATATTTTTTAAAGATACAGGAAAATACAAACCATATAATATAAATTTGGCGACATTAAAATTAAAAACTTCCATACCATAAAATATATTTAAGATATTTGCAACACAAAGGATTAGCATCTAGAACATGTATGGAATTTCTATAAGTAAGAAATAAAAGACAAAGGCATTTCATAAAAGAGGAAACCTAAATGGCCAGTAAACATGAAAGGATGTATGACTTCAAAGGAAACAGGAAATGAATTTAAAACATCAAATACCATTTCAAAACTAATAAGTTGGCAAGAATTAGAAATAGCAAGGATAAGCATACAAAGTATGGCTATAGGAGTATAAATTGGTATTGTCACTGTCCTTAAAAATGCACATAATTTGTTATCCTAGAGAAATTTTTGTTTATGTGCATAGGAAGCCATGTACTAGAATGTTCATCACATCAATGTTTATAAATGAAAATTAGGAAATAAAGTAAATGTGTATTAACAGGAAAATGGGTAAATGTGTATTTATAAAATAATTAAGTAGAATAAATAAGCTAGAGCTTGATGAATGAACTAGAACTACATCAGTATATATGTGTAGAATACCATTTATGTGTAGAATACCATATGTATACCATATTAGTATACATTCATATGTAGTGAATGTCTAAAAACATGTATGGCAGAAAACATCTAATTTTGGATAGTGTTTATCTCTGAAGGGGGAAGAGCAATGGGGTCAGATCATGATTTATAGGAACCTTAGACTATATGTGAAATATTAATACAGGGGGAGGAAATAAAGCAAAATGCTAATATTTGATAGTCATGTTGCATGCCCTTTTATGTTTGAAGTATTACATAGGAGATATGTAGGAGAATGCTTTGAGGGTGGCAAAAGTGGAAATGTGGAGGTATATTTTGGTAGTAGAATCACTTGGTCATAGAAATGATTTGGGCATGAGAGGTAAGGGAGAGATCATGTTAAGGATGACTTTCAGATTTTTTACCTAAGTAAAAGGTGACGGTGTCATTCATGAGAGAAGATGAAGACTGAGGTAACAACAGGTTTGGGAAAAGATGATACATTCCATTTTGGACAAGCGGAATTATGGAAGATGGCAGTAGGTTTCGCTATATGAATTTGAGATCAAAAAAGATTTAGAATGGAAATGTAAATTTAGGAGTTACAGCACATCTATAGTATTGAAAGCCTTAAGAATGGGTAGAATCAGCCAGGAAATATGTACGTATATGCAGAGAAAAGAGAATAACCCACCCTTTCCCTGAGAAACTCCTAGTGGGCAAAGGTGGAGAGGTCAGCAAGGGGATAAACTGGGGAGTGGCTAGAAAGCCGGGAGATAGGGGCATCAGGGAAGCCATGACAAGTGAGTGTTTCAAGTGAGAGAAGCCGGTTGGCAGATGTTGCTGAAAGGACTGCAAAGGAACCTTAAACTGTATGTGAAATACTTCACCTACCACATTTTAAAATTTTATCTTCCAGACAGCAGTGATCCTACCTGCAATGTTCTTAATAATTTATGTATTAGTCTCCACACACTTGAATGTAAACTTCTTGAAAGCAAGATTGTTGTCTTTTGTGAGCCAGGAGAGTGGCACACACAAGGAACTCATATAATTGAGAGCTAGTTATTTCCTCTTACTGGCCTTCCAACTTCTTGTTTGTTTTGAGATGGGGTCCTGCTCTGTTGCCCAGGCAGGAGTGCAGTGGTGTTATCATAACTCGCTGCAACCTCCAGCTCCTGGGCTTGAGTGATCCTCCTGCGTCAGCCTCCTGATTAGCTAGGGCTACAGGTATGGGCCACCATGCCTGGCTAATTTTTGTAGAGACTAGGTCTCAGGCTTTGTTGCTCAGGCTGGTCTTAAACCCCTAGTCTCAAGTCATCCTCCTGCCTTGACCTCCCAAAGTGCTGGGATGTTGACAGGTATGAGCCACCACGCTCAACCTAGCCTTTCAATTTTTAATGTTAAAGAGCAAAAGTAGAGAGATGGGCACATTTTGGCATTTCTTATTTTGATAAGAAAAATTTAATTGATTTGATTTCAAATCTTTATTTTCTATGGTAAGATTTTAAAAAGTTTAATGTTGGAAAAAATACGAGAAAAGTAAAGAAGGTTAAAAATAGGTTTCTGGCCGGGCGCGGTGGCTCACGCCTGTCATCCTAGCACTCTGGGAGGCCGAGGCAGGCGGATTGCTCGAGATCAGGAGTTCGAAACCAGCCTGAGCAAGAGCGAGACCCCGTCTCTACTATAAATAGAAAGAAATTAATTGGCCAACTAATATATATATATACACACACAAAAAATGAGCCAGGCATGGTGGCGCATGCCTGTAGTCCCAGCTACTTGGGAGGCTGAGGCAGGAGGATTGCCTGAGCCCAGGAGTTTGAGGTTGCTGTGAGCTAAGCTGATGCCACGGCACTCACTCTAGCCTGGGCAACAAAGTGAGACTCTGTCTCAAAAAAAAAAAAAAATAGTTTTCCATCAGATCTTGTAATAGAGTTCACACTTGGCTTACGCTGCCAAGCACCTTCCTTTTTTTTTTTTTTAAATTTTATTTATTCAGGATATTATGAGGGTACAAACATTTTGGTTACATGTAATGCGTTTGCACCACCCAAGCCAGGGCTACAAGCCCATGTCCCTCCCCCATACAGTGTGTTCGCTTCCATTAGTTGTGGGTTTACCCCCTCCCACCCACCCCCTGACTGGCATCCAATGAGTATTACTACCATGTGAGCACCTTAGTATTGGTCAGTTAGTACCAATTTTATGGCGAGTACATGTGGTGCCATGTTTTCCCATCCTTGTGATGCCTCATTTCGAAGTATGGGCTCAGTCTCTATACAGGATAATATATAGAGGTGCTAGATCACCATTGTTTGTTGTAGTTGAGTAGTATTCCGTGATATACATATACCACCTTTTATTAATCCACTCATGTATTGATGGGCACTTGGGTGGTTTCCACATCTTTGAAGTTGTGAATTATGCTGCTGTAAACATTCGAGTGCAGATGTCTTTATTATAAAATGTCTTTTTTTCCTTTGGATAGATGCCTAGTAGTGGGATTGCTGGATCAAATGGTATTTCTATTTTTAGCTCTTTGATGTGTCTCTAAATTACTTTCCACAGGGGTTGTACTAATTTGCAGTCCCACCAGCAGTATAAGAAGAGTGTTCTAATCTTTCCCTATCCACACCAGCATTTGTTTTGGTACTTTTTGATAAGGGCCATTCTCACTGGCATTAGGCGATATCACATTATAGTTTTGATTTGCATTTCCCTAATGATTAGAGATGTTGAGCACTTTTTTACATGTTTGCTGGCCATTAATCTTCTTTTGAAAAGTTTCTGTTCATGTCCTTTGCACATTTATTGAGGGGGTTGTTTGATTTTTTTCTTGTTAATTTTCTTAAGTTCTACATAGATTCTTGTTATCAGCCCTTTATCAGATATGTTGAAAGCAAATGTTTTCTCCCATTCTGTAGGTTGTCTGTTCACTCTAATGATAGTTTCCTTGGATGTGCAGAAGCTTTTTAATTTGATCAGGTCTCATATGTTTATTTTTGTTGTTGCTGTGATTGCTTTGGGGGTCTTCTTCGTAAATTCTTTGCCTAGGCCAATGTCTGAAAGAGTCTTCCCAACGTTTTCTTCCAGAATTCTTAAGGTTTCACACTTTAGGTTTAAGTCTGTTATCCAGGCCAGTGCAGTGCCTCACACCTGTAATCCTAGGAGGGCCGAGGTGGGAAGATCGATTGACGTCAGGAGTTTGAGACCAGCCTGAGCAAGAGCGACACCCCATCTCTGTTTTATAAATAAAGAAGAATTATTGTAAATTAAATTAAAAATATATATAAGTCTTTTGTCCATCGTGAGTTGATTTTTGTGAGAGGTGGGCATCTAGTTTCAATCTTCTGCGTGTGGATATCCAGTTTTGCCAGCACCACTTATTGAATAGAGATTCTTTTCCCCAATGTATATTTTTGTCTGCTTTGTTGAAGATTAGATGACTATATGAGGATGGTTTTATATCTTGGATCTCAATCCTATTCTGAAGGTCCGTATCTCTGTTCTTGCACCACTATGATGCTGTTCTGGTTACTATAGCCTTGGAGTTAAGTTTGAAGTTTGGGAGACTGATGTCTCCGAATTTGTTCTTTTTGCTTAAAATCGCTTTGGCTATATGAGGTCTTCTCTGGTTCCAGACGAAGCGTAGAATTATTTTTTCTAAATTTGTAAAGAATGATGGTAGTATTTTGATAGGGATTGCATTAATTCTGTAGATTACATAGTATGGACATTTTAACAATATTGATTCTATCAATCTATGAACATGGCAGGGCTTTCCATCTATTTAGATCTTCTACACCTTCTTTCTCAGTGTTTTGTAGTTCTCCCTGTATATGTCTCTCACCTTCTTTGTTAAATATATTCCTAAATATTTAATTTTCTTTGATGCTATTATGAAATGTGTTGTGTCTTTGATTTGAATTTTGCTTGACTATTACTGGCATATAGGAATGCCACTGATTTGTGTGCATTAATTTTGTATCCTGAGACTTTACTGAATTCATTTATCAATTCCAGAAGTCTGTTGGCTGAATCCTTGGGATTTTCTGGATATAATAGCCTCCTTTCTTGGATGTTATATTGTTAGCTTATCTGAAATAGGATTTTCACTGGTTTTGTATAATAAAGGAGCCATTGTATGTTTGTTCTAGAGAAAAGTTGTTAAACCTTGAGTGTTAGAAGTGTAGCATGTTTGTGAGTTTAGAATATTTGTACTTGAGGCTATGGGAAAAGTAAGAAGTAAGATATGATACATAGCCTAAGAACTCTTTCTTCACTTTGCTTCCAGTAGCCAGTACAGTGGGTAGCACATGGTAATAATATTGGTTCACATTTATCCTAAATTTATCCTGAATTTACTGTGCTAGTTACTCTTCTAAGCCCTTTAGAAGTATTTATTTTTTCTTTAGCAACCATCTAAAGTAGTTTTTATTATTGACCTAATTTTATACATCAAGGAAATTAAGACCCAGAGAAGTAAAGTAACTTGTTCAAGATCACATGGCTTATAAGTGGCAGAGCCAGAATTTGAACCTAGGTTTTGTGACTACATTGTCTCTCCATGTCCACTCAACATTTTTGACTGGAAGTGGTGCAAAGGTCACTTCCTAAAAGAAACCTTCCCTGACAATTGCCCTGCCATGTCCCCCTCCGAGGCAGTTAGTCAGTCTATTTTGTTCTAGAACTTTGAATCAGTTAGAATAAAGCTTGTCTGACCACTGATGGCTCATGCCTGTAATCCCAGCACTTTGGGAGACTGAGATGGGAGGATCACTTGAGGCCTGGAGTTCGAGACCAACCTGGGCAACACAGCAAGACTTCATCTCTTTAAAAAATTAAAAAATTAGCCAGGCATGGTGGCACAGGCGTGTAGTCCTAGCTACTCAGGAGGCTCAGATGAGAGGTTCACTTCACTTGAACCCAGGAGTTGGAGGCTACAGTGAGCTATGATAATGCCACTGTACTCTAGCCTGGGTGACAGCACCAGATCTTATCTCCAAAATAAAAAAAGCTTGTCTACTTTTTACAAAATATAGAATGGATCTCTTTGGCTGCAAAATTTGGTTGTGATGCTCTTTTATCTTCTAGTGAAAGGCAAAGAACAAGAGAAGACCTCAGATGTCAAGTCCATTAAAGGTGAGTTCAGTGGAATTCTACTGTATTAAAAAGTGATGTGAGGTGGGGCGTGGTGGCTCATGCCTGAAATCCTAACACTCTGGGAGGCAGGAGGATAGCCTGAAGTCAGGAGTTAGAGACCAGCCTGAACAAGAGTGAGATCCCACCTCTGCTAAAAACAGAAAAAATTAGGTGGGTGTGGTGTCCCGCACCTGTTGTCCCAGCTACTTAGGAGGCTACTGAGGCAGGAGGATCACTAGAGCCCAGGAGTTTGAGGTTGCTCTGAGCTAGGCTGACACCACTGCATTTGCCTGGGCCACGGTGTGAGACTGTGTCTCAAAAAAAATAAATAAAAATTTAAAATAAAAGTGATGTGCTTTGCATTTACAAGCTCTTTTTTTTTTTTTTTTATTTTGGCATATTATGGGGGTACAGATTTTAAGGTTTCAATAAATGCCCATTTCCCCCCCATTTACAAGCTCTTTAACCCTGTTATCATCTCTCTTCTTTTGGTATTAATCATTTCTGCCTTATTTTATAATTATTTTTTATTGTGACTTCTCTCTTTAACCTGTATATCCTTTAATACCTAGCACGTAATAGGGTTTCAATGAGCCTAGTGTGAGGTGGCTGTCCCAGTGATTACAGTGAATCAGTGCCTTTATTAATCACACATTGGATTGTTCTCTAAAAGCAATTATTTGACTCTATTTAATAAGGCAGACAATGAAGAATTCTCACCTGAGCAGCCTTTCAGCTATGGGGAAGTACTGCCACTTACAAGGCTTGGTTTTCTGTCCTTTATCCAGAAGTATGGGTGATTACAATTTTCATTTCTTGTTACTTTGAATGAGTAACCTTAATTTATAATTTATTTAGAGTGCTTTGTTAGGATCAATACATTGTCGTTATTTATAGGTTAGAGCATGCTTTTCTTAGATTGTAATCTCTATTGAATTTCTGACTGATTTCATTATGTCCAGTATACAGAGATTGGAATGAGAAAATCATAATGGAAATTGTTTCCATACTCATTTCATAAATATTTATTTACATAAAATCTGTAGATTGCTGCTTATTTAGATTTTTATTTCTGATGTATGTATGTTATATTGCTAGCATTGAGTATTGATTCTGTATGCTCAGTTTGCTAGAGGGAGACTATAATTTATGAGATTTTTAAATTTAGGGGGAAAGTAGATAATTTACAGCCTGTTGTCCTCTTACTTCTGATAACTTAAAGCCCGTTGGGTTTCACATTAGTTGAAACTGCCTTGGCATTGATAAAGGCTTAAAACCCTTGGCAAACAGAAGTCTATGAAGACTAGATCTGATTGCAGAAGAAAGAAGGAAATCTGATGTTTTAGGTAGTCAGAAGAGCAGTCTTCCACTTTAAACTTTGCCCCTAATAGTATGACCTTGAGAAGTCATTTGACTTTCTTCAGGTTCTTCATTTATAGAATGATGGGATGGGCCTACCTAATTTCTAAATCACTACCAGGCTAAAAAATTCCGTGCTTATACACTGTTTATGACAGTACATCATCTGTGCTTAGCATTTGTTGACTTAACCTTAGGATAGTACAGCAGCAATACAGAAGTAAGCCCTCAAGAAGTTTGCAGTCTGGTTAGAAAGACAAACTTAAACACACAACAGTAGCAAATAAATCAAAATAATAATGGTTATCATTTATGGAATACTTCTTCTGTTCTAGGCATTAGACACAACTGTGACTATAACAGTGAACAAAAAATACTTGAATCCTGCCCTAATTGAACTTACACATTGGTAGAGGAGAAGATCATTAATTGTAATTCTATAGGTAGCTTGGGCTAGATTGCTAGTGATAGAAATAAAGAGATCTGGATGGATTTAAAAAAAAATTAGGAGGTGAAATGGATAGAACTTTATTATTGATTAAATATGAAGTAAGAGGGAGAGAAATATTTAATGTTTATACCTACTTTCTGGCTTGCTCAACAGAATCAAGCTGGGAAATATGTTCAATTTTGGTATATTGGGTGTGAAGTGCTTTTGAGTCTTTCACTTCCATATTTTATCTTATACACACAGTAATTCTAGGGTCTGAGATTTTAACCCAAGGTAAGAAAGTGATGTTTTAGAGTCTAGTAGACCTAGGTTGAAACCCTTCTTATTGAAATGGGTCTTTTCTAGCTCATTGACCTAGAACAAAGCATTTAACTTTTTTTCACTTGTGTCCTCATCTCTAAAATGAGGAAAGTATGGTCTTTCAGGATTGAGAACTAAATAAAGTCCAAAAAAAAAAAAAAAGTACACAGAGAAACTAGTATAGTGTATGGTATATGTTAATACTAGGTACTCCATTGGTAGTTACTATTAACTAGTTTTAACATAGATAGACTCTCAAAACGTTGCATTAGTTAAATTAAGTGAAGTATTGCAGGGAATTCAGAGGAATTTGAAATCAGCAAATGATTTCTGAAGTTTAGGAAAGACTTCATGAAATGAGACTTGCCCTTTATAAAAGGTAAAGAATAAGAAGGATTTGAATGAAAGAGGAGATTCTTTCTCTTTTTTTCCCTACCAAGACAGCTTATTTCTTTGAATATATATTGGGCAGAGGGACCATCAGATAAGTAAAGAGAAATTTTTTCAGAAAGATTGAGATGAGGTCATAGAGGATTATGAAGACCAGAAAAGAGAGTTGAGACAGAATACAGGGAGCCACTATAGGCTTTGGAACAGGGTCTTGGTGTTATAAGTGTGGTGTTTAATGAAAGGTTAATCTGGAGTTTTGTAGATTTGTGGATTGGAGATCCTAGAAGTTCTTTTGTTGTAACACAGAAAGACCTGTACTAAGGGTGTGGTGTTGAAAATATACAGGTGAGTAAATGTTTAAACATCTTGAAGGAAAAGTCAACTGATCTTGGTGAGTAAACAGATGTAGTGAAAAAGCAGGGAGCAAGATTTTGAGCTTTGGAGATTGGTGGATTGAACAGAGACAGGGAAATTGAGAAGGAGAAGTAGTTTAGAAGATGATGTTTAAGTTTGAAGTTTAGGCAAATTGGGCTTGAGAAGGTAAAGCCAAAGTGGGAATAATTAATAATTAGAGATACAAGACCAAAGCCCAGGTCACAGGGCAGGTCTGAGATATAGGTCAAGCATTTTTCATCTGTTCTGCAGAGGTGGGCCCTAGGAGCTGTTGCCAAGAGGGTCCACGCTGAGGGTATGAGTAAGAGTTTTCTCTTGAATTAGCCAGGGTTACTCAGGTTTTATCTATTTTGCAGATATATCAGGGTCTGCATTTTGTTAAGTTCATTTGTGGGAGGAAGAAAAGTAGGTTACAGCTGGAAAAAAAAGGTTTGAAAAGTATTGATGTAGTAATAATTGGAGGTTTGAGAATAAATGTGCTTTCTAGCAGATAGAATAAAAGAAGAAAGACAGCCTCAGGAAGAAGAGGAGTCAAGGAAGGAGACCACATATGATGCAGTGGGCATTTATAATAAATGTGTACTAAAAGAATGAGAGGGGAGCCAGGTATCGTGGCTTGTACCTTTAATTTTAGGGACTTGGGAGGCTGAGGTGGGGAGGATTGCTTGAGGCCAGGAGTTTGAGACCAACCTGGTCAGCATAGCAAGACTCTATCTCTAAATCAATCAATCAATCTATCTATCTCAGCATGGCTGCTTTTTTAAAAAAAAAAATTAAAAAAAGAATGAGAAGGATGAGCAGATGGAAGAAATTAGGAGAGTATAATACTGTGGAGACCAACAGAAGATAGAGTATCAGGAATAAGTGGTAAAAATAAGTTGCTAGTTCTAACAGAGAAGTTAAGAGGGGGAACCCTTGTACAAAGGAATTAATTGTATTTTACATTATTATATAAAATATAATTAAGGCAATTTTGAGTTATAAATAATATTAGGTGTTTCCAGTTTTCTGCCACTTAAGTTACTTTTCCTCTTAAGTATTTTTTATTAAGTATTTTTTGTTGAGTATGCTGACTTAAGAGAAATGTTACAAAATTTAATTTTCAAAGTTCTCTGAAAGTCTTCTTGTGAGAGTTTTATACTATGAAATTGTGTTTAATTCTTAACAATTTTTTAAAAAATTACAGCTTCAATATCTGTACATTCCCCACAAAAGAACACTAAAAATCATGCGTTGCTGGAGGCTGCAGGACCAAGTCATGTTGCAATCAATGCCATTTCTGCCAATATGGACTCCTTTTCAAGTAGTAGGACGGCAACACTTAAGAAGCAGCCAAGCCACATGGAAGCCGCTCATTTTGGTGACCTGGGTAAGTATCACATTTTGTTAACTTTTAGTAAGAGAAAGTATTTGAGTATAATACGATATGTGAAACTCCTGTTACAGGATACTGAACTATATAATTGGAAGGGGCTTTGAAAAATGTATTTAAAGTGAAATAACAGCAACAAGTATAATGAATGGTGCTGTATCATATCACTATAAATATATAAAGCATGCCCAGTAGCAAAATGAGCAATTTCCAGAAGAAAAAATACATTTGATCACTAAACATAAATATATGAAAATGATGTCTCACTTCACTATTACTGAGGGAAGCGCAAATTAAAATAATGAGTTAATGATCCCCTAACACATTAGCATATATTTAAAGTTTGATGATTTGAATGTTAGTGAAGATGCAAGGAAATGACCACTCCCACTTAGTGATAATAAAAATTGGTGAAGACTTTCTGGAAAGCAGTTTATAAGTATTTATCAAAATATAAAATATGCATGCCATTTAAGCAAAACTTCTCTTTCTAAGACCTATCCCTCAGAAAGAAGCACCTGTATGCACAAAGTTGCATATATAATAAGTATGTGTAAGGCTAATCATTATAGTATTTGTGATAGCAAAAAATTAGGAACAACATATCAATATCTGTTAATAGAAAAATAGTCAAATTGTGTACTCATACTCTAGAGTACAACATAACCATTTAAAAATCTAAAGACTTGGCAAAATGTCTAAGACATTTGTTAAAGTGAAAAAAGCAAGTCACATAGCAGTATGTATGGTAAGATCCATTATGTTAAAATAACTTTCCCCTTCTGAGTATTTGTTACCCAGATTTCTGCACTTATAAAAATTGCATATCATGTTGTCAAAAACTGAGGAAAAATCCATGGATGAATTGACTTCTAATAAAATTAGTTCCTCTTTTGACATCTCTCGCTGCTTAGCATTTGTGTATATTCAAAGCCAGGGTGTTAGTGTCTTCATGGGTCATACTTAGCAACGCACTGCAAACACAATGCGTATAGGTCCCAAAGTAAAATTGTAGGTTTTACTGGATCACTCATACGTTGCTGGTAGGAATATAAAATGGTATAGCCACTCTGAAAGAAAGTTTGGCAGTTTCTTATAAAGCTAAACATGCAATTACCATGTGACCCAGCAATTGAACTCTCAGACATTTCTCCAAGAGAAATGAAGACTTTATGTTCACACAGAAACCTGTACACAAATGTTCAGAGCAGCTTAATAGTGAAAAATTGGATGTCCTTTGACAGGTAGATGAATTGGTACATCCATGCCATGGAATATTACCCAGCAATAAAAAGGAACAAACTATTGATACACACAACCCATTGGGATGAATCTCAAGGGAATTATGCTGAGAGACAAAAGCCAATCCCAAAAGGTTACATACAGTATAATTCCATTTGTATAGCATTCTTGAAATGACAAAATTAGGAAATGAACAGGTTAGTGTTTGCCAGATGTTAGGGACAGGAAGGTGAGAGGGGTAGGTGGGTGTGTTTATAGAGGGACAACATGAGGGATCCTGTGGTGTTAAAATGGTTCTGTATCTTGGCAGCAGATACATGAATTCTACTTATGATAAAATTGCATAGAACTAAAAATAGACACACACAAATGAGTACAGGTAAAACTGGGGAAATCTGAATAAGATTGGTGAATTGTTTCATTGTCAATATGGGGGGGGTGATATTGTACTATAGTTTTGTAAGATGTTGCCATGGGGGGAACCAAAGGGTACAGGGAATCTCTCTGTGTTATTTCTTACAACTACATGTGAATCTACCATTATTTCAAAGAGTTTAATTAAAAGAAATTGTAATTTTTGCAAAAGGTCAGGATTTCGTCAAGTTCACGAAGTGATGTTGATGATGATGGACTAGTTAACATTGACAATAAGATGGTCAGTGAGAATGATGACACATGAAGTGCTTCAAAAGAAAATGATCTGAATATCAAAGGATTAAGAAAAGCCCTTTTAAAAAATTGATGAAACCCTCAGTTAGTTTTATAAAAATGATCCTCTTTATGTTCATACTATTAATGCCAAAAGTTTTTTTGATTTTGTTTGTTTATGTAATACTGAGCTTGTGATTATAATTATAACCTAAGTTTAGTTAAATATAAAGTATAAATTTTTTAATTAATTTCATTTTTTAAGATAAATTCCCAATGTTGCTCTTTATTATTAATAATGCTGAGAGTTCATAACATCTTTGTAGTTTAATCTACACATCCACGATTTTTCCTCAGCATAAGTTCTAGCAAGTGGAGTTACTGGATTGAAAATCATGCCGTTTGTTAAGACTTTGCGTTTGTTCCTGAGTGCTTCTCAAAAAAGGTTTTGCCAGTTTGCATTCTTATCACACGTGGATGAAGTGTTGCCTGTTTCTCTTTTCCCTTGTTAGTGCTTGTTATTTTTTGACAAACTGTTTTCCTGTTTTGACAGGCAAAAATATCATCTTGTATTGATTTGCTTTTCTGGGATTTTTAATGAGGTAGAATATTTTTCATGGCTCATTTTTTTTCTTTGAGACTAATATCATAAGATTTTTTTTTCTTAAGAATTTACATGGTATGAATTTCCATTGAAAGGGATATATCTACCTGTTGGGTACAATGAACACTATTGGGTGATGGGTACACTAAAAGTCCAGACTTGAGCATTCTAAAAGGTAGCCATGTAACAAAAACATTTGTACCTCTTTAATATTTTGAAATAAAGATGTAAGTATTAATTGAGTAACAAAGAACTTTTTAATAATTTGGATATGTTTTGAACAGGTGTTCCTTTACTTTGTTCAGAAACCAAAACCATAGTATTTCTAGTTTTATATTCATTTTAATTAATAGGAAGTAAACTTTATTCAAGACCTCTGGTACCAGTGTTTCTAAAGGTGATTGGTTAGTCTGTCAATTTGAAATTATTTGTTACTGAACTAATTCTTTTGCTCTGTCTTTTAGGCAGATCTTGTCTGGACTACCAGACTCAAGAGACCAAATCAAGTCTTTCAAAGACCCTTGAACAAGTCTTGCATGATACTGTTGTCCTTCCTTATTTCATTCAATTCATGGAACTTCGGAGAATGGAGCATTTGGTTAAATTTTGGTTAGAGGCCGAAAGTTTTCACTCTACAACTTGGTCACGAATAAGAGCACATAGTCTGAACACGGTGAAGCAGAGCTCACTGGCTGAGCCTGTCTCTCCATCTAAAAAGCACGAAACTACAGCCTCTTTTGTAACCGAGTCTCTTGATAAGAGATTGGAAGATTCTAGCTCAGCCCAATTGCTTATGACTCAATCAGAAGGAATTGACAGGAATAATAGAACTAACAACACTCAGAATTACTTGCTGCTTTCCCAGGAATGTGACAGTGCCCATTCTCTCCATCTTGAAATGGCCAGAGCAGGAACTCATCAAGTTTCCATGGACACCCACGAATCCTCCTCCAGATTTATAGTAGCCAGTAGAAATAATCCCGCTTCTCCACTAAAGGAGTTATCAGGAAAACTAATGAAAAGTAAGTATGTGATTTTCTTGTGTTTCTCTCTCTCTCTCTTTTTAATTCACAAAGCAGAACTTAAGATGAGGAATAAAAGGATTGGAATAGTTTCTTTTCTCCCCTAATTGCCTATAAATTTGGGTGGATTTGGAGAGTGAAGTGGAGTTAGATCAGGGTATGAAAAAGGATCAGGAGAGATATCTAGTGGGACCTATCTTCTAAGAAGTATGTAAGCAGAATTAACAAATGAATAAGGATCATTGTCTCACCTTTCCTTTCCACAGATTTTGAAACCATTATCCAGATAGCCTTATTTCCTCCCTGTCTCACTCTTAATTTTATTGCTTGCAGATAAATTTTTCTATTTTTTAAATTGCTAGTAGGCGACACTGAGTTCTGTTCTCAGTGCATGTTTGGGTTTTATTTAATAGTCACAACATCTCTGTGATGTAGAGGTGCTATTACCACATTTTACCATGAGAAAACCATGGCTTAGAAAGGTTAAGTAACTTGTACAGTAAGTGTGGAGCTAGAATTAAATCCCAAGCATTTTGATAACAGTATCTCTTTTCTTTTCTATTAGTTTAGAAATTAAATGCTCTTACTTCTTAATTATCACCTTTTGGAATTTTAAATAAATAGCGTCCATGTTTTTCTTCTTCTCTTTAATCTTGTCTATACTTTGAATCTTAAAGGGCTAGTGATTTCTTTAGATCTTTTAGTTCATTGATTCTCTCTAAAAATGAGTCTCATCTGCTACTGGATCAATTTTTAGCATGTTATTTTCATCTTAATATTGTAAGTCAGGCATGGTGGCAGGAGGTGGGAGGATCACTTGAGCTCACGCGTTCAAGACCATCCTGGGCAACATAGCAAGACACCAGCTCAAAAAAACAAAGTTACTGAATCTTTCATTTCTAAAAATTGTTTTTTCTTTCAAATTTGCTTGATCATTTTTCATAGTTTCTTGTTCCTTACACCCTTTGTCTCATCTTTTATTTCTTTAAATTTATTGAACATATATACATTGTCTGATAATTTCATTATGTATAGCTTTTGTGGATCTGATTCAGCATTTCTTTGTTTCTTCAGATTCACACTCTTGGTGGCCTGTGATTTTAAGTGATTTTTGGCTGTCAATATGTTTCTTGGACTTTATCTGTGGGATTCATTAGGTACTCTATTTAAGTTATTTCAGGAACATTTGCATTTGCTTTTGCCATGTCCTTGGTTCTGCTTTTCACTACCTGCCTGGCACTACTTAAAATGAAATTTTTGCCTTGGGTACTGATACTAAACCTATATGAGTACAGGCTTGTACTCACTGTAGAAATATGATTGTGTTTAATTATGTGGTATTGTCCCAGATGCTGCTGGGGTATTAATATGCTATCTGTTAAACTTAGGGTGTTACCTCTGTACAAACCTCCAAAATTCTGAATTCCAAATTATTACCGGCCCCAAATGTTTCATATAAGGGAACTGCCTGTACTTGTTTCTGCCCCCCACTGTTTTCCTTACTTTACTACAAGCTCTAATAGGCCAGGCTCGGTTGCTCACGCCTGTAATCCTGGCACTCTGGGAGGCCGAGGCAGGCAGATTGCTCGAGGTCAGGAGTTCAAAACCAGCCTGAGCAAGAGCGAGACCCCGTCTCTACTATAAATAGGAATTAATTGGCCAACTAATATATCTAGAAAAAATTAGCCGGGCATGGTGGCGCATGTCTGTAGTCCCAGCTATTTGGGAGGCTGAGGCAGGAGGATTGCTTGAGCCCAGGAGTTTGAGGTTGCTGTGAGCTAGGCTGATGCCACAGTACTCACTCTAGCCTGGGCAACAGAGCGAGACTCTGTCTCAAAAAAAACCTCTAATATACTTTCTTTTTTTTAATTAATTTTTTTTTTTTTTTTGTAACAGGGTGTTACTCTGTTCCCCAGGCTGGAGTGCAGTGGCATAATCATGGCTTACTGCAGCCTTGAACTCTTGGGCGCAAGCAATCCTTTTGCCTCAGCCTTGCAAGTAGCTAGGACTACAGGCATGTATCACCACAACCAGCTAATTTTTTAATTTTTTGTGGAGGCAGGGTCCCACTCTGTTACCTAGGCTGGTCTCTATAACTCCTAGCCTCAAGCAATCCTCCAGCCTTGGCCTCCAAAGTGCTGGGATTATAGGCATGAGCCATGGTGCCTGGCAACAAGTTCCAGTATACTTTGGAAAAGCATTTTGAGGGAACTCAGTATTAGGAAGAGTTTCTTTGAACATTTAGTGTGGGCTATATCTGGAAATGGAAGTCTGAAGTCTGTTTCTTTAATTGTAATATACTTTATTGTCTTTGCTTTGGTGGTAATTTATTTTAATAAAAAATAGAAATAGTGTAGTAATTAAAAGAGTACTATGATCCTTTTGTAGTTCATAAGCGTGATGATTGGGTTTTCACGCGCGTGCGTGAGATGTGCCTCCCTCAAACCTTGTTACGACATCGGCACATTACCCGTCTGACGTGAAAAAAAAAAAAAAAAGAGTACTAGTTATTTTCCTTTTTCATTAATATATTTAAAATGTGTAAATAGTTAAATTTGACCTTTTAAAATGTATGCCTGTATGAGTTTTAACACAGAGATAGATTCCTATAACTGTTACCATATTCAAGATAAACAACAGTTAGTTCTATCACCTTTGTAGTCAAACCCTCCTCCATCCCATTACTTGTCAACCACTGATCTGTCTCCACCTCTATAGTTTTGTCTTTTTTTGAGTGACATGTAAGTGAATTTATACAGTATATAACCTTTGAGACTATCTTCTTTCACTCAGCACTGTAGCTTTGAAGTACTATCTTCTTTCACTCAGCACTATAGCTTTGAAGTTCATCTGTGCTATTGATTTTACCTATTGATAAAATCTATCCATTGTTATCTATTGTTCATTCCTTTTTGTTGCTATGTCATATTCCCTTGTGTGTGTGGACTATCCATTCACCTATTGGAGAATATTTGGATTGTTTTGAGTTGTTCACGATGATAAACAATTGTGTACAGGTTTTTGTGTGGACATAAATTTTTATTCCTCTAGGGTAAATACCTAGTAGCGGCTTTGCTGGATTATATGGTAAATGTGTACATAATTATATAAGACACTGCTAGACTTTTAGAGTGCACCATTTTGCATTCCTACCAGTAATATATCAGAGTTCTAGTGGCGTCATGTTCTCACTAACACTTGTTATAGTCAGTTTTTGTTTTTTGGGGATTTTTTTAGCCATTCTAATAGATGTGTAGTGGTATCTCATTGTGGTTTTAGAATGTACTGCCTTTACATTTCCCTAAATGGCTAATGATTTTGGGTGTTTTTTTCATGTGTGTATTATCTGTATATTTACTTTGGTCAGTTCACATTTCCCCCCCATAATTTATTGGATGATCTGTTTCCTTATTGTTGAATTTTGACATTCATATATTCTAAATGTAACCTTTCTTGGCTATGTGATTTGCAAATGTTTGCTCCTAGGTTATAGTTTGACTTTTTATCAGTGTCTTTTGCAGAGCAAAATGGCTTTGTTTAAAAATTAAGTCTAATTTTTTTGATTAAGTCCAACCTTTTATGGATTGATTGTGTTTTCAGAGTCATATCTAAGAGCCCTTTGCCTCATAAACAGGTCATGACGATTTTTTCATATGTTTTCTTCTAAAGTATTATGGTTTTGTACTTTACATTTATTAAAAGATATATGATCTTTTTTGAGTTACAAGGTATGAGAGTTAGGTCAAGTTTTTGGTTTTGTTTTTTGTTGTTGTTTACTTTTACATATGAATATCCAATTGTTCTAACACCATTTATTGAAAAGACTACCTTCACTGAATTGCCTTTTCACCTTAGCCATATTTGCCTATTTCTGGACTTTTTGTTCTCTTCTGTTGATGTATGTGTTTATTCCTTTATTACTACCACTCTTTTGATTATTATAGCTTTGTATTCTAGTAAGTGTTAAAACTGGGTAGTATGAGTCTTCCAAGTTTTTTTTTCAATTTTGTTTTGAGTGTTTCAGTTTTGGTCCCCCTACCCCCATAAATTTTAGAATAATTTTGTCTACATCTACAAAACACCCTGTCGGAATTTTTATTAGAGTTGCATTCAATCTGTAACTTAGTTTGGGAAACATTTACATCTTAATTATTAATATATTGAGTCTTAGAATCCATGTATGAGGTATGTCTCTCTATTTCATAGGTCTTTAATTTCTTTATCAGCATTGTATGGTTTTCAGCATACAGATCCTTCATATGTTTTGATAGATTTATATCTGAGTATTTCTCCTTTTTTCTTTTTGGTGCTGTTGTGAATGGTATTATCTTAAAAAATTTGTTTCTAGTTTTTCCATGGCTTGTGTATAAAATGTGATTTAGATATATATAGATATATATTTTAATGACACATTGTCTTGCTCTTTCATCCTGGACTAGAGTGCAGTGGCATCATCATAGCTCACTGCAACCTCAAACTCCTGGGCTAAAGTGGACCCTCCTGCCTCAGCTTCCTAAGTAGCTGATATTAAGGCGTGAGCCACCACACCTTTATATGTTGACCTTGTATTCTGTGACCTTACTAAACTTATTTATTTTTAGAAGCTTTTTTGCAGATTGCTTGAGATTTTCTATATGGATAATAATGTTATCTGTGAATAGGAATGGGGACAGTTTTATTTCTTTCTAGTCTTTGTTTTTTCTTTTTCGTGCCTTATTCCACCGGCTAGGACTTCCAGTACCACGTTGATTAGGAGTGGTGAGAATGGATATTCTTGTTTCTGATCTTAGAGGGAAAGTATTCATTCTTTTACCATGAAGTATGAAATTAGCTATAGATTTTTTGTATTAATAAATGCACTTTATGAAGTTGATGGTTTCCTTCTCTTGCTAGTGTGCTAAAAATTGTTGTTTTGAATCATGAATGGGTGTTGACTTTTGTCAGATTGTTTTCTGTAGTCATTTGATATGACTGTGGTTTTGCTTCTTTTGTCTGTTAAT